TATACTGACCCCCTGGCTTAGATCACGATAGAGGGAGACTTCTTTGGGACGAAATTGTTAGGGCTTCTAGACACAATAACATAGTCATAGTAGGGGACTTTAATTTTAGTCAAATTGACTGGAATTCTTTGACAGGTAATCTAGAGTCCAGTGACTTTATGGAAACAGTTCAGGACTGTTTTCTGAAGCAGTGCGTAACAGAGCCTACCAGGGGTAATAATTTGCTAGACCTAGTCTTGTCAAATAAGGAAACACTCGTAAATAATCTGGAGATCACTGAAAAGCTTGGCGCAAGTGATCACAAATCCATCACTTTTAGCATTAACTGGGAATGCAAGAATAATATTAATACAGTAAAAATCCCTGATTTTTGTTCTGCCAATTATAATGGACTTAGGGAACACCTGTCTAATCTTGATTGGGGTTATCCAGCTAATGATTTTATTGACGATGATCATACTTATGATTATGAAGGGATCTGCTTTTATGATTGTTTTCTTAATAATGTACACCGTGCCCAGAGCATATACATTCCCCAGAGAGAAATTAGGTCTAATAATAATGATCCCAAATGGGTTAACAGGAGGCTAAAGCATCAATTAGGGGAGAAATGGGGAATTTATAGGCACACCAGAAGAGGAGAGGTTAACCTTACTGACCAATATGTTCAGCTTAAAAGAGAAGTAAAAAAGGGGATTAGAAAGGCTAAGCGTGACAATGAAATTAGAGTTGCTAATGAATCAAAGACTAATCCAAAGGGGTTCTTTCAAGTGTATAGGACGAAGGTGAAGGAAAAAGTAGGACCTCTGAAAATTGGGAATGGACAGCTGACGGATAATGAACTGGAAATGTGTTCCTTATTTAACCCTTTCAGGGTCCGTCCCATAGATCTACGGCTTTACGTTCAGGGTCCAAACCGTAGATCTACGCCATGAGCTCAGCTCACTCTGATAAACTGTGAGTGGTACATTTGGGCCTAGATATGAGAGAATACATCTATGTGGTATGTGTGCACCACATAAAACAGATCCTGCAGCACACTGTGTATAATGAGAGAAAAAAAAATGAAATCATGATTTTTCGATTAAAACAGCAACTTTGCAGTGTTTTTTCGTATGTTTTTTATAGTTGTATTTGCGATTTCTTGGTCTCATTTGATAGAATGGAAGACATATTACAGAAATAGAGATGATTTTGATTGGTTTTAGCACTGGAAATGGCTTGAAACTGAGCTCAAAGTAGCAGAAATGTTAAATTTTTGCCGATATTCAAGAGTAAACAAACGACCTCACACGTCTAATACACGCCAGCTGGTGGGTCTAATATACATTCACAAATATGGTGATGATATTTATACAATTATTACAGTATTGCATAACAGTAAATCTTCTATTTTTTGGTGTGAATAAAAATTCATTATGTGAATAAAAAATCAAAATGGAATTTATTTGTAAAGCCTCAAAACATAACTAATGAACAGAGGAAATGTTAGTTTAGTGCCAGGAATGCCTACATTGTTCATTCTGGACCCTATTTTGAAATTGGAATATTTTGAACTTTGTGTTAAATTGGCCAAATTAACAATTTCCGATCACTTTATTTTGTAGTTGAAACAGTTGACTTGGCGATTTCTTGTGCTCAATCCATAGAATAGAAGTAATACTAGTGAAATAGCTAAGAATTTGGTTGATTGGAATAAAGTAATTGGCCTAAAATGGGAGTCAAAGTCGGCAAAATCGCCGATTCGTAAATATCACTGACACATCAAAATTCGCGAGAGCATAATTTCGTCAATTTTCCACCAAATTTCGTACTTTTTGTTTTATTACCTTCACAAAAAGATTCTCTACGATTTCATAAGAAAAAATAACAAATTTTTTTTTTGAAAATTCTTGGACACTGGTGCGTGACTCCAGATTTGGGCCTTGGACCGTGAAAGGGTTAATGACTATTTTTTGTCAGTTTTTACACAGGAAGATGTAAATGAGATTTCAGTAATTAAAAATTATTTAGTTCCTAATGAATTTAAATTAACTAATATTACTGTCATGAGGGGCATGGTTATTAAACAGATAGACAATCTGAAGCAAAATAAGTTCCCGGGACCCGATGAGCTGTTTTCCAGGGTACTCAACCCTTTGAGGGTCAACAGGCCCTCTCCGAAACTTGTTCTCAGGGTCGGCCAAATTTAAAAAAAAAAAAGATAGAGAATCTTTTCCCGATCATAATGACACCAAAAGTATGAAATTTGATGGAAAATTTACGGAATTATGCTCTCGCGAAGTTAGCGGTCTTGACAATGTTTACGTATCGTCGATTTTGCCCAATTTGAGCCCTATTTTCGACCAATTCCAATGTACTAGTCGACAAAAATCATAACTATTTCGCTAGAACTCCATTTTTTCTATCGAATGAGTACAAGAAATCACCCATTTACCAATTTCAACCATCCAATAAAGTGGTCAGAATTTAGCAATTTTGCCAATTTCACACAAATTTCAAAAGATGCCATTTTCCGAATAGGGTCCAGAATAAACAAAAAAGACATTCCTGGCACTAAAATAACATGTTCTCTGTTCGTTAGTCACATCCCCAGGCCTCTCTTATATTTCTTTGGCTTTCCACTTTGAATTTTTCTTACAAAAAATAGAAGATTTACTGTTATGCAGACTACTGCATTAGTGTAGAAATGGTATAAATAATATCAGCGCACTTGTGAAAGAATATTAGACTCACCAGTTGACGTGTATTGGACGCTTGGCATGATTTGTTTACTTTTGAACTTTGGTTAAAATCGAACATTTCTGCTACTTTGCGCTCAATTTCAAGGTACTTTTCTTTGTAAAACCAGTCAAAATCACCTCAATTTCTGTAATATGTCTTCCATTCTATAAAATGAGATCAAGAAAACTAGAAAACAACAATAAATACCATACGAAAATACAGTGCAAAGTGCTGTTTTATTCCAAAAACACGGTCCAAGTTTTTTTTTTCTCATTACGGAGTGTGCTGCAGGATTTTTTTTATACTGCGCACACTGACCACATAGACCCATTCTTTCATATGTAGGCCTACCAGCTTTCTCTCATTAGATTTGAAGGCACTGGAATTTAGGCGTACTAGTACGTCATGGACCCTGGGTCGTAAGCCGTACTAGTACAGCTGAAACCCTCAAAGGGTTAAGGAATGCAAGATGGAGCTTAGTCAGCCATTAACGAGTGTATTCAATGCATCCACCCTTACCGGTGTTGTGCCAGAGTTGTGGAAGATGGCTAATGTGGTTCCTATATTCAAATCAGGGATAAGTCCACTACTTCAAATTACCATCCAATAAGCCTGACATCTATAGTGGGCAAGTTATTAGAATCAATTATAGCTGACATTATCAAAAGTCACCTTGAAGAGCATAACTTGATAAATAAATCTCAGCATGGATTCACGAGAGGTCGTTCCTGCATAACAAACTTACTGACGTTCTTCAATAGAACATTTGAGGCAGTTGACAGTGAGAAGGAATATGATATTGCTTATTTGGATTTTAGTAAAGCCTTCGATAGAGTACCTCACAGGAGACTCTTGAAAAAAGTGGCAGTTCAAGGTATAGGAGGTAAAGTTCTAGCATGGATAGAGGCATGGCTTACCAATAGAAAGCAGAGAGTTACCATTAATGGAGTGAAATCTGAATGGGATTAGTCACTAGTGGCATTCCACAAGGATCAGTTTTAGGCCCTCTCTTGTTCATAATTTACATTAATGTCCTTGATGAAGGGATTACGAGTGACATGAGTAAGTATAGTTATTGGGTAGTTTCAAATTTGTGTTGGATAATTACATGAGTGAGAGGGGTTGGATGTGAGTGGGACCTGCACATGAGTAAATAGAATTATCAAAGCTTACTGCTTGGGTAGCATTGAAAATTGAGTTGGGCAAATATTCTGTTAGTAGGATGGATTGTGAAGGACTTGCCTAGTATGGACCAACAGGTCTGCTGCAGTGTATTATTATTAGTACGTATGTATTATGATGATGATGATAATTATTATTATTATTAATTTAGGGAAGTGGAGCAGAGATCCAATTCCCTTGATCAAGAGCCCCTCACCAAGGAACCTTCCTTGAGGGGGAAGTTCGCATCCTTAAATTTAGTTTGTGTCCAGAAGTAAAAAATCGATCGAATGACTGTTCGTATCCTGAAAAAATTGCATGGTGGGGCATTCCTAAGCCGAGGTTCCACTGTATACTACATCTGCATTTTGGTTTTCCTTCAATGCCCCATATTTCTGTCAAGGTGACTGAGTTGTGACAAGCATGAGCTTCCTGCACTAAATCCTTGCTGGTTTAGGCCATGCTGTTCCATAAAATTTATAATTTAGGACCTCATCATCCTTTCAAAGATTTAAATGATGTGTGATGTTAAGACTGTAATTCTTGGCTAGTACTTTACTGCCTCCTTTATGCAAAGGAGCTATGACTGCACTCTTAAGAGACCTCTGATATTTCATCTAGCTCTAAGCTCTTTCTTCAAAGGATACTGCTTGTGCTGGTGGTATTTTGCACGTCATTATAAATAAGGAATTCCACGAATCCAGTCCAGGTGCTGTTCCTCTCTGCTTCTACCTGCACCAACAGCTTGCTCTACTATTTCTGCATCACTCAACACATGGTAACCAGAATTGCCATCATTTTCTTCAAGCCATGCCATTACAGCTACTGAATGAGTGATGGGATGTCTTCCCTTCTTTTTGGCACTGACCTTTTGGAAAGAACAAATGGAAGAACAAAGACAAAAGTTTTCAAGAAAAAATGAACAACTATCTCCTACAAGTGCCTGATCAGCAGCTTTGTGATGGCTTTCTGGGCCTGTGGGACACTAACACCAACAACTTGATCAACCTGGAAGCCTGACCTCATGCCAGGCTCTGAAAACAGAATCCCCACAACCAGTCACAGGTACATTCACAGATGTAATAAAAACAAAAAAGTGAATTATGTGAATTTACCTGTGGTGCTGCACTGGCTTCATTGTGACTGTGCTGGGAGAATGCAAGTGTTGACACAATAGGGTTCAGTGAAATAGAAAACTTGTCCACAGCCATGAAGAGTAGAGTTGTTAACTGTTGAACAGTGTGAGGTAGAATCGGCCCAGATACTTCCATGCTGTGTTGAATATCACCGTCCTGGCGAACAATGCCACCTTTTACCTTTTAGAATATACAGTAAAATACTGTTAAGAAAATCTATTAAAAATTATGTTGAAGCACACAACCATTATCCATAAAATTAAACAACAAAGTGTGCACATCTCTTTTAGTCAATATTTGCATGTAAACTTACAAAATAAATAGCATTCTTTGAGAAGCACACTAAATTTACAAAATATAAAAAAAGACATTATGTAAAGAGGAAACTACAGCAAATAACTTGCATTTTGGGAAAATAATTTAGCTTGAAAAGATATATACAGCAGACTGTTATATAACATGGGCTCCTATACCATGTTCTCTTAATTACACTATTGCGGCATATTTTCATGTAACACTTCATAAAATTCAACTAACATGGTTACACTTCTAGGTAGGGAAAAAAACGAGTGTCGCAAGCAGGACTGCAGGATTTTCCCCTCTTTTGTGCCCTCTTGGGCACTCTGCCTGTGGGTCAGGCCACTGTCTTTGAAGGGGACGCCTAGCTTCCTCCCCTGCCACCCCCATCCCAGTGCTCCTTATATATGCGTCCGGTGCAATTCCAAGATCTGTTTTGAATCGGGTTTCGGTCTTTTCATTACCATACCTTGTATCTACCAAGCAACTTTAGCACCCAAGAGGCATGTGAATGATGCAGGAAGTTGAAAGAAAAAGTTGAATTGGTTAAGTCTTGGAGTTATAAAGAAATTTGAAATATTAGACAATTGAAAAGTGATGTATGTGGGGTGGATATGGCTAGAGCTCATGGCCTTAATGAAGAATCAGTTCTTATAATTAAAAAGAGTGAGGCAAATATATGAATTTGTGCAATGAATAACCCGGGTTGTCATCTCAACTGTTGTCATCACAAGTGCCTGAATAAACTGAATGACTTGACTGACTGACTTGACTTACTGACTGACTTGCTAACTGGACTAACTTACTGACTTGACTGACTGACTTGACTGACTGACTTGACTTACTGACTGACTTGACTGACTGACTTGACTTACTGACTGACTTGCTAACTGGACTGACTTACTGACTTGACTGACTGACCAACTCCCTCTCTCCACTGTTCAGAATTGTTTGACATATGCCAGCAACCACAATATAAGGTAAGAATATTACTTCTGAAACATTCGTAGCTAAGCTTAAGCCATGCATTACACATAAAACATAATGACAATGAACAACCATTACATTATCATTTTTATTTTTGTAAGATTTGGAGACTCTCCCATAAAAAGTTGTCTGGCATTTTTGGGGGTACCAGGAACATAACCTTATTTTTCCCATAAGTTCTTCAGTCTAAGTTTAACCCTTTGACTGTTTTGGTCGTATATATACGTCTTATGAGCCAATGTTTGACATATTACAGTGGACCCCCGGTTAACGATATTTTTTCACTCCAGAAGTATGTTCAGGTGCCAGTACTGACCGAATTTGTTCCCATAAGGAATATTGTGAAGTAGATTAGTCCATTTCAGACCCCCAAACATACACGTACAAACGCACTTACATAAATACACTTACATAATTGGTCGCATTCGGAGGTGATCGTTATGCGGGGGTCCACTGTAATACACCAAAATTCTAGCGGCTTCAAATCAAGCAGGAGAAAGCTGGTAGATCCACATGTGAGAGAATGGGTCTCCATGGTCAGTGTGCACCATATAAAAAAAAATCAGGGAACCAGTGGTGCATTGTGGGAATGCCATTTCAGTAGTCCTTGTTCATCATGCCAAGCAGTAAGAAATATGTGATTCCCCGGCAAATCTGGGACTTTTCTCTTCCCAAGTAATGCTCTAACACAGATGGCAGTGTCAATGAAGATCCATTTCATGGTTTTGAGGAGTTTGTGACCAAAAGCAATGCCCAGAATACTAGAAGAATGAAGAATGAAGGAAAATGAAGAATGAAGGAGAATCAAGGACAAAGAACAAAGAATCACTAGTTAATAATCTTGAGGGTAATGATAAGCTAGGGGAAAGTGATCACAAATCACTTAGTTTCCATATATCATGGAGTTATCGGATAACTGCAATCAAATTTCTGTCCCAGATTTTCGCTTGGCCGATTTCATGGGACAGAAAAATTACCTGGGTGGGCTAAATTGGGATGTCCTGACTATGGGTCAGGTAGGTGGTCTTGGTTGCCAATATGACATTTTTCAGAGCATAGTTCTAGCTGCCCAGACAACTTTTGTTCCGAGTAGGGAAATTAGATCTGACAAAAATGATCCCAAATGGATGAACAATAGATTAAAACATCTCATTGGTCAAAAGAGAGGCATATATAGGCATATCAAAAGAGGGAAGGGGCAGTTAAGAAATCAATATATTCAATTAGAGAGAAATAAAAAAGGAATAAGAAAAACTAAAAGGGATTATGAGGCTAAGGTCGCAAGGGATTCGAATACTAACCCAAAAGGGTTCTTTCAGGTATACAGAAGTAAGATTAGGGACAAGATAGGCCCACTTAAGAGTAACTCAGGTCAGATCACTGACAGTGATAAGGATGTGTGTGAAATTTTCAATTTTTACTTCCTCTCAGTTTTTACTCAGGAAGATACTAGTGAAATTAGAGAAATAATATATTACGTAGAACAGGATGATAATAAACTACGCACAAGTGCAGTAACTAGTGACATGGTCCTCAGACAAATAGAGAAATTAAAAGCTAACAAATCCCCAGGCTGTGATGTACTGCTTGCAAGGGTGTTAAAGGACTGTAAAGAGGAACTTAGCATACCTTCGGCTAATCTTTTCAACATATTACTACAAACTGGCATAGTGCCTGACAAGTGGAAAATGGCAAATGTAATACCTACTTACAAGGCAGGTGACAGGTCCTTAGCTTTGCACAATAGACCAATAAGCCTTACCTCCATAGTGGGAAAATTTATGGAATCAATAATTGCAGAAAGGCATAAATAGATTAATAAATCTCAGCACGGTTTTACAAAGGCGCGTTCTTGTTTTATGAATTTACTAACTTTCTTCACTAAGGTATTTGAGGAGGTAGATCATGATATTGTGTATATGGATTTCAGTAAGGCTTTTAATAGAGTTCTACTTCAGAGGCTATTGAGGAAACTTTAGGCACACAGAATAGGAGGAGAATTTTTCCTGGGTTGAGGCATGGTTGACGAATAGGCAGCAGAGAGTTTGCATAAATGGGGAGAAATCAGAATGAGGTCATGTCACAAGGAGTGTTCCACAGGGGTCAGTGTTGGGCCCCTTGTTGTTCACAATCTACATAAATGACATAGATGGGGGAATAAATAGCGACATAAGCAAATTTGCTGATGACACCAAAACAGGCCGTCCAATTCATTCTAATGAGAACATTAGAGCACTCCATGATGATTTGAATAGACTCATGCAATGGTCGGAGAAGTGGCAGATGCAGTTTAATATAGACAAATGCAAAGTTCTAAATGTTGGACAGGAAAATAACCATGCCACATATAAACTAAAAAAACGTAGATCTTAATATTACGGATTACGAAAAGTATTTAGGAGTTCTGGTTAGTAGTAATCTAAAACCAAGACAATAGTGCATTAGTGTTTGCAATAAAGCTACCAGAATCCTTGGTTTCATACCAAGAAGTATAAATAATAGATTGGATAAATACACGAGTGGGTGTGGGTGCGTGTGAGTTGGACCTGACTAGCTTGTGCTACTAGGTCAGATGCATTGCTCCTCCCTTAAGTGACGTGTCTGATCTCACTAGGTCAAGGCATTGGCTTAAGCTGGTGGGAGAATTGGAGCTGCCTCACATAGGCCTAGGCCTGTTGCAGTGTTCCTTCTTTCTTATGTTCTTTCTTATGAGAAAGAGAATGAGAGAGTGAGAAGGAGAATGAAGGAGAAAGAAAGATAATTAGGTAGGAGGATGGAGGGGAAGCGAGCATCCAACCCCATTGTTTTGACAGGCAGTAGGGGAAGTGAGTAATGATACAATATGTCTTCTTGACAACTGCTGGACCCTGACTCTGCACATTTAGAAGTCCACACACTCACACACAACACAAGCTTCCTAAAGATAATAGCAGTTATATGAAAGTGTCCACTGACTATATATGTGCATATATATTATAGAAACCAGAAGGAAGGAAAGAATGAAGATAGAAAGAAAGGTAGATAGGTAGGAATGATTACACATTTACCTAGGATAACTACCTAACACAACTGTCTGCTGCTACTATGAAGAAAACTGCTCAGATGAGGTGTTTTGTCTATGCACATAAAAAAAAGCCCAGAAAAACAGACACTCGTTTTGTGTGTGAGGAGTGTAAAACACCATTGTGCATGGCAACATGTTTCAAAGAGTTCCACAAGCTGCAGAACTTCTAGGAACATGTTCAGTGACTGTACATTTGCATAAATATTATAGAACAAAGGTAATAAAAATTTTTTTTTATTGTGTAAACAAGTTTTATAAACAATATAATGATAATCATGTTTGTGCACTTACTGTGTTGTATAGAATGAGTGTATATATGTACATTGCACCTTACTTTGGTCTTACAGGCCACGTAAGTTACCTGAAAAAATAAAGTAGTGGAATATGCAAGATACGTTCAAATGGGAGTAATGGGAGCAGCTTTCGCCACTGTTACCATACACGGCTCATTTTCTGCCAACTTTACGCCTCTATATCTCCATAAGTACTGATCGCAAAAATTTGTTTTGGGGATTAAAACAATTAGAAAATTAATCTTAACATTTTCATAAGAAAAAATAATTTTTTTTTTAATACTCTTCGACACCAGGAGACACTTCAAGATTTAAGGTTGCTACAGTCAAAGGGTTAACAAAGATTCATCTAACACTGCATTTTCAGGAACATAACTACAGTGGACCCCCGCATACCGTTGGCCTTACATAACGTTAAATCCGCATACCGATACATTTTATCGCTAAGATTTTGCCTCGCCTACCGCTAAAAAACCCGCTCAATGCTGTTCGTCCGAGACACGTCTATGTGAGGCCTGAGCCAGCCTCACATGTTCCGC